GCTGAAAAAAAAGGTAACTGATATCGTTTTTGAAAAGTAGTAATCAGGTTATGGTCAAACGTAAGCTGTGTTATGTTAATACCAAACTGAGAGAAACTGAAGTGAAAAATAAAAAAATAACGAAATCCTTTTTTTTCTCTCACTAAATGTGATTTCCCAGTTGAAATCCACACAGATAAGAGTCCAACTACTTAATATTTTAGGGTTTTTTTTTTTTTAAAGTTCATTGGAATTGGCGCTTATGGGAAAGAATTTCCTCATTAATGGCTTTTCAGGGCAAGAAAAAAAAAACATGAACGAGACAATAATGGGTATGGATCGCGAATTAAGATGGCAAGCGAATAATAAAATTAGACAAATAGATTCAAGTTTAAGATAAGAAAAATAGAACACACAGGAAACCTTCCTTTTCCAGATTTAATCTTAGTTTATGATTGTTGCTATGAGAAGTGATCAATTACCAGTAATCGTTCCCGCTCAGTGATAACTCGTCATTTTGATAGAGTATGTTAGGAACCCGTGAACGGTCGGCAGAGACCTGATTAATAGCAAACCATTGTGTATTTATTTTGTGTTCCTGAACACGTATTTAGCCCTGGGAGAGATAAGGACCAATGTGCTACACTCCTCAAGAAATAAAAAGTTATTCGGTTTTTTCTGAGCTTGGGTCTATGGCTTCAGGAAGAGGGCGTGCGTGATTTTGTTAACTCACTTCTGTTCATGTTATGCGGAACTTGCTCGAAGTTGTTTGATATGCCGAACCCGATTATTACACAGATCTCATACTTAATTACGTTGATATGGACTATGATTGCTATGAAAACAGATATACCCGGCTTTTTCTGGACTGATACCAAAATCATTTCTCATTTACGTGAGCGCTTCCTAAATCCTCCTATTGCTTGTACGTGCGAGGAGTCAGTTGAAGATTAATCCACTAACAGTAAAGTGAACTGGGCCTCTTATATGATACTGCGAGGTAATCTTGATTTCAACTTTTGTTTGTAAAGTGCAGTCTAGCGCAAAAATTTAATAATCTCAGATTTCTCATTTCGGAGACGGCATGTATTATACATCATTAACATCATAAAAGAAAATCAATTTTAACTTAATCTAGCATGGCATAATATACAGTAAGACTGATCAAGCAGCTCTTCACAGAAGTTCGAATCAAAAAGCAATAAATAGATTAAGCATGTTGTGGTAAAGATTACAGACCAGTTGAGAGCAAAATAAACATACAACCTCGACTAAGTCGAAAAAAAACCTCGAAGGATTTGGGCGATGCTTTATTTCGTTACCTCAATTTTATCATGAGCCTCTTTTTCCTCTAAAAAGTATTGATCAAGTCAAGCAATTTAGAAGATGGCATTCCTGTTTAAATTGTTTTAAAACGATCTAGAAAGAATGTGATTTACTTGTTTTGATAGCTTGCCTTTCGTACCTAATAGCTCTGAAGCCTTCATTCTTGATCCTTCTCCACAAAGATATGCAGCTTATAAGTTTATACAAATGTGACTTAAACAAACATATTCAGGACATTGTGATTATTTTTCGCGCTTAGTCTAAACATAACAGCGAGATAATTGATTTTTCATGACGGTCAGTTAATAAAAAGCAACCAAGCTTTTATTTACTTTGGACTTCCGGGCACCATTAGAACAAGAAAAACGTAACTCGGGAGTTTTTTTACAACGTGAAAACAATTTGCAATACTCTAGATGTACGTGAAATAATGCATCTAACTGCGTATCGAGAGCAAATTTCATACAGAAGAAGGAAAACGTCAATTCTATTCAGTACGTTTCCAAAGAAAACATTCCATGTTTACGATTGGTTTCTTCATTACTTGCTCCCTTCCTAAAACATGCAGGTAGACCCTGTTATCACCGAAATCTTAGCAAAATCTTTTGCAAAGATTAATATTTGAAATAGTTGTTTCTTAAGTCATAAAAATCAGTGTATCGTCGTTCTTATCCCACTCTTGAATATGTTACTGCAATTAAGAAACAACAGAAGAATCATTCTACGGGAAGATAATTAAACGGATTTATCTTGACAACAAATTTCATTCAAATCGACGGCGTGCTCTAGCGAATAATCCTATCATATTCAATCTTCCCAAGAATTTCTAAGAGAAAATTCCTAACTACCATTTTTGTGTAGATTAGGAAGCACGTACGAACCATAGTGCCTCTGTTTATTTTCATTCCCATTAAGGCCAAGATAGCGTTGCCTGCAAGCTCGCAAGCTTATATGACAAAGTTTGTGCCGGCAATGAATATTTGCAATAGTCTTCAAAAGCCAGAAATTTTGATCGCTGTTTTCGAGGCATTTTAATATTAGGTGAAGTGAGTAGAGTTTCAAACGTGAGTGCACGAAGATTTACCTTTCCTCCTTATTTACAAAGTAACCACGGAAAAAATTTCTAGGTGTTTAGGCATCATGAGCGTGGGATGGAAAGTGTTGTGCTTTGTGAAATTTGTCACGTGCATGACGATGACTAGTCGTGGGAATAGTAACCTTATCGCTCAGTACTGTTAAGCATCATGTAATACAAACATGAAAAACAAATTAATCACATGTATGCCAACATTTAAAACAATTTAGGCACTTGTTGAGTGTTTCAATCTGAAAAAGTCGAAACAAAGGGTCTGGAAGTATGCCAAGTAACCAAAAAATAAGGCGTAATCGCTAAATCTTCGGAGAGCAAACATTAAGGTCACACGCGAAAAACAATAGGGAATGAAGGAAATCTGAAACCAGAAAAAGAGAATTGCCATTGATTAAGAAATTACTGAGGAGGGAAAAGTAACATTGCGAAAGCAAACGTAACCTAACCAGAAGATTTCAACAACCTTATGGCCACGCAAAACCCAGTGTCTGCACATCGAGACTGTCGTAAGCTTAGCCCTCCTATTAAGACTTCAAGTTTCCAACCACTAAAACAAAACACACTAGATTATGTTTTAAATAAAACATTACCCGGCCAGAGTTCGGTATCATTAAAAAGAAATTACTATCTTACGTTACCAACTCGCATTTTCTAACCCTCTAAATACCTTAAAATAGCGCCATCACCCCCCCACGACCGCGTACAAATTGATTCAAGATGTTGGTTTTAGCTGATCCTATGATGTTTTGAAAAATGTTATTCGTAGATTCTATTATAGATTGGTGAATTTCTTCATCATCCGTTCCTCGTGTCTCGACCTAGAATAGCCTAAGGCTTTAAGTTGTTTTTTAGTCTCCGAAGAAAACTAAAAGTATAATGTTACAGCTAAATCGTATATCAGCTTGTTTCAATCAAACTGATATTACCGCATCGTGACATTTTCGGCCCCTTAAGACAAACTTCCAATACCAGTATGGTACGGGGGTAGGCTCATGATTTTTCTAAAAAAAAAAATCCAAAAAAAAAAACCCAAATTGATCCAAAAAATCCGTTACGCACGTGGGTCGGAGAACGAACTAACATTTCTGATCGAACTTTACACGTTAAAAGTAAAAGTAAATTGATCCTTCTACATGGCACTTATACCGATAACACACTTTCTCTTCTAGATTGAAAGGGTGCACTTAAAATAGGTACATGGCCATGCTTAGCACCACAGATACATATTCTCAAAATCGATTACTGACTAAATGTTATTTCCGGCTGCTGAGGCCATCAATGTGAAGAGAATGATAAAAGTTTCGATTTACGATTATTTTATTAAGCGTCAACGATGATGATGAAGGGTTTCGATGTGGTTTTGTAATCAAGACTAAAGAATGCGCCTTGAATGCAGGTTTACATGGCGTAATAAGTCAAGTGACAATGTAAGATTCAGTGTCATTGTCAGGTTATACACGCACATTATAAATTGTGCCTAAGTTGGTTAAAATTCGTTCGATTTCGAAACAGGATATTGCCGCTATGTTTCCGTTATTGCCAAGAACATTTTTTTTTACAATTTCATACCGAAAAGTTTAAGCGTATGTTCAAACTGGTAACTAAACATAGAGATTTTATGAATCTCATTAACAGGTAATGCATTTTGCAGCATAAATTGTTCAGATAATTTTCTGCTTCTAAAAGGGTGAATAGGGCAAATTTTGTCTAGCTTTACCGTATTCAGAAATCAATGTCTTTTAACTCAACTCTTATGGGGTGTTTTCTAAGCATACCTGTTTTAAGGCAATGCCGCGCAGTACTCTTTCCTAGGAAACATAAGAATCAGACCTCTTTATAAGTACAGTTGTAAACCTATACGCCAGAGATATAGATTGCTTCACAAATTTTGCTCCAATTTTAGTGTAAAAAAGCTACGAAGCAACCGGCCAACGCTTTCTCAGTTTGTTCGAGCATCATCTTGATCTCAAAAGAAAATATAGGATGTACAAATAGATTGCTGCAAGTGGTCTTCTTTCATGAAAGACCACGCAAGATGGAGTATGGTTGCGTTTTCAAAAATGGTAAAAATGACTGAGATGTAGTCCGGTTGTAAGTGCAGGGTACTATTGTGTTAGAGAACGTGTTTGTACATTCACCTTCATGTCAGCAATTATAACAGGCAATTTTGTGGAAGCAACTCTTAATTCCCACAAACCCGCCAGATACACAGGCCAATCGTGGTTTAGTTAAGACTTAATACGCCAGAATATTTTGGTTTCTGTGCGACACCTAATTTGCAAGGAATTCGGCGACCACCGAGAGTGAATGTAAATAATTGCAAAAGCCTATCATTACCAGTCATAACTATTCAATTCAGTTACAGGTGGCTACGGTTAGGCTAGTTTGCTTGTGTAAATACCAATTTTATGTTACAATTTAACTCCTAAAGTTTGTCACCAAGTTATCGTCGGCACCCTCAAGAGAAAGATCAGAGTTGGGAGCTTTGCAGGCTAAACAGCATTTCACTGATGTCAATGACCTCATTATTGATCTGCGTGAGGCTTGGATAAATCGTAGCAGGCATAAACAAGTGTCTACATTTCTGATTGATTGTTACCTGTCAGTTTCCACAGAAACCCTGTCGATCACAGCACGCGCCTCCCAGCCAAGAAAGTATCTTATTGCACAAATTGCTTTCAATCCGGTCGCATTCCGGATGTCCTGACCGAACAGGCTAGAAAGCAAAGAGACAACGACGAAAGACATAAGGCGCGCTATCGGAAGAACACAAAAATGGCGTTTCTAATCAATCGTGTTACCCCAGAGCCAGTGCCACCCTCAGCAGACGAAGAGGGAACCGAGTTATCAGACTCGCTTGGCTCCATGAAAGAAAAGGGTTGTCTAATCAATAACAATGAGAAGGATTCTTCTGAGACAACTGATCATGGTGGTGCTAATGAATGTCAAGAGGGCCTTGACGGCCTTCCCGAAGCCGATGTAATAAAAAATGGTACGAATAGGTTACAAAATGAAAGGAGAAGCTGTTCGCCTCATTCTAAAAGACTTGACTTATGGAATCTGGAGGAAAATTTGTCCTCACGGCGATCTTCCGCCTGCGATCGCGTTCTTTTGTTGACTATGTGTCTCATGTCGGCAGCCGCACTGATGCTCACCTTGTTGATGATGTTTGGAGTGGTTGGACCAATGCAATGTTCCTGCTCTGGGAAAACAGGTAATATTTCTTACCATGTTCATTCATATTATGGTTATTTTTTTTTCGTAATCATTATCAATATTTTCAGTCATGATTTAAAATCGAATTGGTGGGGAAATATTCAAGAATTTCCGGCCAGTTTTCCTACTCTTTATATCACGGACCTCGTAGGTTTCGATGCTTGAAATTTATAGATATCTTTGCTAAAAGGCAAACCATACATAGCTCATCGGCCGTTGCGTGCTCAAAAATGTCCTCTCTTACTTGTGGGAATAGATTAGTTGATGCCGCAGCTAACGATTTTGAAATTGCTTTATTAGGTATTGAATCTTATTGTTGTTTGGACATGACACACGTTAAAGACAACACCGTTAATGAATTTGCTCACGCAAGAAAAATAACCCATTTGGTTTGCCCAACATTGTACATAGTCCAACTAAATCTTGTTTTGACGTATTTCCGGTGTTTGAAACGTTCACTACGCAGATGCTTATGGGCTTTGGGTGAAGTTGAATTCAAAGAATACCGTCACTTGCGGAGGACATTTGTTTATAAAAATTCTGACAGCTATTTTTAGACTCAAAGGAAAACATGAAGAACTTTCTGCACAACAGCATAAGAACATCGAATTGAAGATACCCTTATCAGAGGTTTTTGAAGCGAGTATAAGTTCAATCCAAGTGTCTTAAACCTGGTTTTTGATGTCGTATGTTAAAAAAACAAAAAAAAAACAAAAACAAAAAAACGATGGAAAACAGAGCTTGAAAATCTGTTGACCCTTTTGTCCTCGTCAGATCATTAAAGGATTTGTCGAGAAACGTTATATGATTTAGCTATAGATTAAAGATGTCAGAAAATGAAATGTTCTGAGAGAAAAGAAAAAAAACAAAGCAAAACCTTTCGTACACTCGGAAAGAGGCAATTGGAAGAACAGAAAGAAAGTGATAGGGTTTCGATCATTGGGACACGGGATTGCGTGATTACATGGCTTAGGAGTATTCAAACACTTTAGGTCAATCAAATACAGACTGAGCACTTTATTTGTATTTAAAATTTCGATGGTATCAACTGAGTCTGAACATCTGATAACACCATTATCCACTTTTTCTTTCGTAAGTTTTACGAAAAGTTGTCGTCAGTAAACACCATTACCCTAACTTATAAGCAATCATCTCCGCGGCCATTTGGAGCGTAAACAAAATAGCTTTCCATACATTCCATGAATATCTCATTTCCACAGCAACTAAAGACGACGATAATTACAAAGTCTGCGTCTTTTCTTCGCTTTTCTCTTTCTCATTAACAATGAATTGTATAGACTCAGGATACTTGTGCAAGCGTTATTACAGTTCCACAAACAACCTCAAACTAGTTTTTTTTGTAAAGAAAAACAATTAGGGGGCATTTCAAATTTTAAGTCAGTTATATTTCATAAAATGAAACATTGACAAAAAATGTAGCAATTTAAGTATGGAATAGCTGTCGAAACAAGTGCTCTATCCAATCGAGTTTCCCAGAAGGCTCTTTTATAAGATTAGTAAAGACGTATTTTTATGAAGGTATTAACCCCGGAGCTGCCTACTTAAAAGCTATTGAGCAATATCCAAAATGATATGTTCTTCTAGTATATTTGCGTTACCCACGAATGATTCAAGTGTCGTTCTGTCATCTTATTTCAAGGATGGAGTGAATATAAGGTCAAAAGGATCGTGAATGCTTTAATTTCTGACTTTCAAAGAATCACCCCTCCAACGAACAATATCACGTTTTGCAAATTTAGCGAAAGGCCTTACGACCTCATTATCTACACTTTTGCATTAAATAATGTTCTAGATTTTCCATGTTTGACGCTTGGGTAAAGTTAGCGATATCCATGTCAAAAACGACGGCTAGAGCTTTGAAATATCACACAAGAAAAACAAAGGGTTATGACTTAAGGTTTGCGCCTGTTAAATCCATTCTAGCTTAATCTCTCCCGGCCCGTCTTTAAAGTGGACAAAGACTTCATTACGCTGAGAAATGTTATCTTAACACAAAATGTGTAATGTGGAAAAAAAAAAAAAAAAAAGAACGCTTGGAGGAGGAGAAGCGGAAATGTCAGCAACGGCAAAGCAGAGAGGGTGCCAGCTCTCAGCCTGGCTCACATACGGCAATCCCGTGTCCGCATGATGTAGACATACTGTTTCGAGCGAGGATCAACCATCTTCGCACTCACATCACCCCGTGATCAAAATCATCGTCATCTCCGCCTGCGTAAGGAGAACCTCACCATCATCGTTCCTATCTGAACGTAGTATATAATTAGTGCTAACAGAAAGTTTAATTTGGACATTGCAGCTTTGGATTAGCGAAATAGATTAGTCTACGCGGGGCGATTTATTCACTTCGAGTTGTCGATATCCTTTACAGTATCCATTTACAAACAGGCCTGGATCATAAAAAAAAAGCCAACATGAGGGTTATATCAGTCAAAATATCTCCGAATGTGTTCTTACGTTAAAACCGTGCCTCAGCTTATTATATATTGTCATCAATTGTCTCTTTGACTGAAATAGCAACATACTTCGAAAGTGATAGAAAATGTGCTGATTAACCGGCCAAAACGTGTCCGTGCACATTCCACAATCGATCAGCTTCAAGTACTCTAGTTTCTTTTAATTTTATGCCTCAAAAATTAACTGAATGCAGCATTTAATTAATAGTCCAAGATATTTTTTCCACGAGATTTTTCGAGGGCTAATGATTTTTTTTTTTTTTTTTTTTTTAAAATTGTGTTACACCATTTAATTCAACAATTAGAGTATAGAAAATGAACAATTTTCCTCTGGTTTGATTTCATTTGAGGTTACCGAGGGTAGGAAATTCCTCTTGTAGATAATAAATTAGCCCTCTGAGGTCATCCCTAATCAGTGTTAGTGAGCAATAAAAGAGCGAATCCAGTTCCTATCTTTATTCTTTGTTTGTTACTGTCCTGTTGCATCTGTTTCTTTAATTTGGCTGAATAGTAGTTTACGGTTTCTTAGGATATGAGGAAGAATATCGTATTTACTTAGCTTCGCTCAACTAGCGAATAATCTATCTTTGAAATATAATGTGCGTTCTTCAAAAGGGTATCTTACTGATGTGAGCCACTTAACACCAAGTTAGCGTCATGTAGTATGCAAAGGCCGAAGACATTGTAAATAATGCAAACGTTCCGAGTCATTGAATTGTAAATAGTAATCGAAGGCTCCTTAGAGCAAAATTATTCAGTTTAGTGTTGAGAACTTTAACCATTTTTCATCTTTTTCCAATATATAGAAGCGTTTCCCGGGGCACTAATATGCGTAGATAATTAGTTATTAAACAGAATTCTGTTTTCATCAAATTCGAAGGAACGTAAAATGCTGCAAGCCATAATCGACTCTTTTCCAAGTCCAGATCGTAGTGTTCTTTTACTTCTCTATTTCGACGTAATTTCTCGTAAATGTAAAGCTGTTAAAAAAGTCATACAATTTACCTTCTTCCTTACGAATGATGAACTAACTTGGAAAAATATTTACCTATAACAAGCAGGAAAGAAGGCCTTACTTACCATATTTTTGATAGTTGAACAACTATTACTCTTGATAGTGATTGTTTGCGCTAGTTCAAGAATAGTATGTCTTATTTCTCCCTTTTTTTATTCGAAAGATTTTTGATGGAAGGTTTCAAATTCCGCTTATCGAAAGATTTCACTAAAGTATGAAGCTTCAACATGTGCTTATTGATTCATCTTTTATCTATTTATCCATCTGTTCGTTATTCATTTGAAATCCTTAACTGTTTTTGTTCACATTTTCTATGTTTTTCTTATTGTTTCCCCTTTTTTAGAAACGTCAGAACTTCAAAGGAATATGCAAGAGTTGGAGAGGAACCTCTCTGCATTAAGAGATTACTCGGTAGGAGTAATTCTTAATCATTAGCAGTGGTCAGTTAAAAGCAAAAGTGCACTGATGTGAAATACATGGGTACATGTATGTACATAATACTAAAGGCCTCAAAAAGACTTTTAACTCCCTGATTATTAGTAATGATACATAAATATACATATACTAGACAGAGCTTTAATAATTCCCATGGCGCCCAGGCTAGAGGCATCGTTTTTGTGTTAACAACACTGTACTTTTTCTGCTTTAACTTCTTCAATGTGGTGATCTAAATTTTATTTCTAATCCGAGATTGTTGTGTGCCTGGGGGAGCCTGATAAACATTACTATAGGTCATCTTAAGTGTCATTATCACAGTCATTATCAGTGTTATCCTAATTTTTTGAACCACCTTTGGAAGAATAGCAGGTGCGAACCCTATCATGCAAATTGCACACTTATATAGCCATCATCATCATTAAATCATTACGACTAAGAAATGAGAAGAGAATATTATTCTACAAAGAAACTTGATCAGGAATATTGATTTGCATTTTTTATTGTTATAGGTTTCACGGGATGTAAAAGAACTGAAGAAAAACGTAATTAAGCCATTCATAATCATAATGATCATCTTAATCTTAATAATAATAATAATGATAATGATTGTAAATCATCAATAACGATAAACCATTTATTAAAAAAATGATATGATGTTAAATAGTTTCTCTTCTTTTCTTTTCTTTTCTTCCTTGTGTTAGGTCTCAGCAGAGTTGAAGGAGCTAGCGATAGAGGCAAGTTTAAATTCAACCATTTCCAGTTCCATCTATATTAGGAAAAAAATTACTATCAGTGCGCTTAGTTTAACATGAGTTTCTTACTTTATGGTAGATGGAAAAAAAAATGGAAAACATGAAAAACGAGGTAAGTTTCGTTGTCTGAATCTCTCACTGTTACAGTCCCTATCATCATTATGTTCAAAAGCAAAACGAGGACTACTCTACTTATTTCACCAACTTTAGTAGGCCCACTAATTCTCTAACACAATAATTTGGCCCGTTTTATTTTTCAGGGCAAAAATACAGAGCTAGAGGATATCCGTCTCGTAGTACAGGATGCTGCCCAAAGTTTGACTGGTCTGAATAAAAGCGTAAATGAGAGGTTTCTGCATTTTCAACAAAGAATCGTGCAACTGGATCAAAAGGTACATATACTTGAATGTATTTTTGGGTGCCATTTCGTACCGAATTTCGAATCAACCTCTGACTGACCTTTCACTTTCACTTTCACTTCTATTTTCACTTTCACTGTGACTGTGACTGTCACTATTATTGTTACTTTGACTGTCACTCTCACTTTCATTTTCATTGTCATTGACACTGTCACTTTCATTGTCATTGACACTGTCATTCTCATTGTAATTGCGGCAATTGGCATTGTCATTACAATTGTCATCATTTTCATTGTTACCATCATGGTAATGGTTACTGTGAATATCATTGTTGTTGTTGCTTTTTTTTAATTGAGTAGGTGAAAAATACTACTGGCAGCACGAGCATCATGGGACCACCTGGAGTCAATGGTTCTAATGGGGACGTTGGACCTGTCGGACCCGCCGGACCTCCAGGATATAATGGTACAAAGGGTGATACTGGACTTCCCGGACCTGCTGGACCTGCCGGACCTGCCGGACCTGCCGGACCTCCTGGACCTCCGGGATATAATGGTACTCAAGGCCCTGCAGGACCGTCTGGGCTACCTGGTGTTCAGGGTCTTCGTGGACCATCTGGGGTAAATGGTACCCAGGGTCCACCTGGACCCGGGGCCAGTTCCTGTGTTTTTAAGACTTTAAGAAGCACTGGTATGGCAGCAAACTCGATCGCCCAACAACAAACTACGGCGACAGAACAAAACGTAAGTTTAGTAAAAGGTTGTGAAGTTAATTCTGTTTGATTCTGTTTGATGCGACGTCGTGTGTACACCCATTGAAGAGGAGAGAAATGTTTTGCTCATCCACATTTCGAACTCGTGACGTAGTTTATCATCATCATCAGTATCATATTTATTATGTTCTTTTCCTGCCAGGGTAAAATCTTTATTGGCGTAAACTGTGATACAAACGACGCGAAAGTTGCTAAATTGACAAGCAGCATCGCAGGTGGAAAAAGAACCTACAAATGCTCTTGCGAAGGTACCCTAACAACTGGAGAAGCAACGATGTATTGCTACATGCACTACTGGGAGTGTCAGTCATAAGAGGAAAAACGGAAAGCCATTAAATGAACAGGACTCTTTGTAAAGAAGATAATACAGTGTTGAATCAGAAACGAGACGAAGAAAAAATTCAGTGGTTTAACGTTAATTCTATTTTTCAAATATGCCCAGTGAACTAGGTTTTCTTTTAGAGGGCATTTCAGTTAAGTGTTGTAAAACCAAAATCAAAGGAAAGTCAAAGGAGTATAAGCAGGAGGAAGAGTAACAACAGGTTGCAAGCCCTAAGCGTGAGAAAACGCAATAAACCAAGATCGCGATTGGATTTACTTTTCAATCTGGCTGATTCAAAGTATGGTGTGAGTTTCAGTTCTACACCAATCATATTGCGAAGTAGGGCAAAACCAAAGCAAAGTAGCGTATCTTTCCACACTCAGTTGGAATCAATCTTATTTAGCGGCATTGTGTTTACTTTACCTGATGTCGAAGTAACAATTCAAAAAGATCCAAAGTTTAATAGGCTGAGACTTTCCTGTCATTCATACTCATTCAAAGGTGTACATGAATTATTTAATCAGAAACTCGGTTTTTTTTTCACCACCAACTTTCGCGCCCGTTCTTTTTGCCCTAGCTTTATTTACCTTATTACCACTCGGTCAATACCGCAAACAATTATCTTGAGTCTTTTCTCGTACAAACTTTGTCCATCTTTAAACAGGGGCGTAGCCAGGTTTTTTAAAAATGGCTCACAGCGTCAGACAAAGGGTACTCGCCAGATTGTCATATCGACATATCGCCCTTCACACCGCGTTCTACCTATCATAACCTAAAACAATAACGCATACAAGGGGGAACAGACGACACGCGACGCGGGTACCCAAGAACCCTAGGGAAATTCCCCAGCTACGCCTTTGTTATACCGTATATCCATTATTTAATGGTGATCAGTTTCTTGCGTGAAATCGATTTCGAGAAGTTTTCCCTAGCAGCATCAAACTTTTAGTATAAGAGATCCAAATTATCACTTTAAAATGAAAGTATATGGAAGTAAAACAAGAGTTCGATGAGATAGTCAGCGTTAGAGATGAGAGTGGAAGAAAGTTTTGTGAAACTAAGTGACCATGTTACCCAGAAAACCTCTCAGTTTTACTACGAACTGTTGCTTTCATATACTTAAATAAGCACTTATGTTTGTTATCAATGCTAAATATGGACTTCAGTCCCTTAGAATAGCTTCCAAAAATATTTTGTTTCACATTGCATTTTATACTAAACGGAAGAAAAAGCGGTATTTCGTAGTATATCAAGTGAAAAAGGAATACTAGCAGCCACAAGTGGATAACACCTAAAATCACCGCTACTTAAGCGACTGACATGTTATAACTGTTGGAAATATGGCTCTCAAAGGAAACTTGATGTGAAAAAACAAAATTTTAACTTAACATGAGTTTCCTTCAGTTTTGTGTATGTTTTTCATCTAGAATGTAAAAGTCACATAATTTTACACGGCTCACACATTTCTTGCTAATCATGGTCACTTTAGTAAACAAAACATTGTTTTTTAGTCGAACAACGATAACGATGTATTTCTATGATTCAAATTCATAAAGTAATCAATTAACAATAGGGCCACAATGAAGACTTTAGTTGTGCTCTATTGAACTCGAGGAACTGACGGTCTTGAACGATGCTCATTTCAAAATGCTCAGTGAAACTCTCTCGGACTAAGAAACTCCCTGAAGCATTGAAAATGGCGTCCCTTCTTCCAACCGAGTGAAATGGATTGGGTGGGTTTTGCAGGAAATCCACACCCCCTCCCCCCTGCAACCTGCATAAAAGATAAGGAAGCCCAGCTTAAGAAATTCAAATAATGCTTAATTTGAGAGCAAAAACTGTTGACTGCATTTGAAATTGCCTAATATTGCATGGTGCTAAAAAAAAAGGGAAAAAAAGAGTTCCGCTAAATGTAGGTAAGGATTTGTGTAATTGATGGGACTATGAAAACAATGTTGAAAAAAATGGTTACAGTATCTCGCTCTAGAAGAGCCTTTAAATATTTTCTTTCTCATCCTTCTCAACGCCTTTAAAGTAGCTATTTCGGAAAATGATCCATGCCACCTCTCAAATTATCCTAGCATTAAATGCAATCAAAGGTGGCTTATACGAAGCCAGTGGATCATTAAAGGCAAGAAAATTTTAATCTGGGTTTGACTTCAGCCCTTCGAAGACTAAAACATCAAGAAAAACCCTCTATACCTCATTTGCTTCTACCTTGATATCTCACTGTACGCTGGAAAGTGGGGTCGATAGTGATAACCTGGATCAAAATCAAGTCGGCATAGTCATTTTGTTCAATAATGGTTTCATCGTCATTTAAGGTCAGTTCAAATCTTTTATTGCACAATCTATAGCCTTACGTCGCAACAAATACTTCCTGTCATTATCCTATTTTCAGCTTTTCCTATTCTCATCAATCAGAGATGATCATATGATCATATCGAATCGTATTTCAGCATCTCTTTGGTCTGCCTAAGCATGTTTCGCCCCAAGAAGAGTCTAAAGTTGATCTGTTTCACAAACGGCACAATCATACCACCCAATGATGGATACTAAGATCGAGATCGGGCAGGAGAACATTTATTTCGAAATGGAATCTAAACAGGAACATAACGCCGAAACCTATGACAGTGTAGTTTTCAGAAAGGACACTCCACAGGTAAAACCAAACGTGGAAACACAGCCGTATAAAGATCCTGATACAGTGAAGCATAACCCATTATTCTTTATCGCATCTGCCATCGCTGTTGCTTCGCTCTTAACAGCCCTTGCCACTTTGGTTTTAGCTGTGGCAATCATGACGACACGGAGCGAGGTTTCAACAGGTATGGCTGCCATTGCTCCTTCCTGTTGTAAGTAAACATTCGTAGGTCTTGATTCGTTGAAGTTTTAAAAGTGGCATTAGTGAAACGCGTACGACACGATAAAGCAAACAATAATTTACTTCGGTCTCGACCATTTAATTTCCTGTCCGAAGAGAAAATTAGAGAAACTTTTTCGATATGATTTGAGTATTTTTATTATTAAGATTCTACGAAATTGGGTCAATAAAAGCCACGTTATATTTTTAGTAAAAAGCCCAATTTATCAACCAACTACTATCGCATAAAATTTTCATCTCCAAATTAAAAAATAACTTCTTGAAGAATTTCGTACGGAGTTTGAAATATTTGACCTTTATTTACTAGAGCTTTCTCCGCACTGATGATTAGTGTAGGATTTCAAGTCCAAGAAAATGACATTGCTTACAAGGGGCAATCTGTCTATCGTGGTACTTAGTCGTAATCATGAACAACATTGGCAATTCTATTATGTCTGCATGATTTGATATTTAGATGAAGCTAAGTTGTGACAACTGAGCGTTGAAAAACATATCTCTTTAACAGTAAACTCGTTTGCTCACATACAACTAGGATCCGTGAGTGTGGCACATCAAGCATATTGCTGTAAAAACAAATTTAATTATTCTTGAGCGAAACGCCAATTTAAAAAGAGAAAAATAAATAACTGAAAAACACATCACTCTTGGATTGATAAATCACATGTATGGGATTGTGTGCAATGGCCTTATTTATTGCTATCTCAAACACGCGAGGGATGAAAGCGAAACAAAGAAAATGTTCGACAAAAAGTCATGAGATTTATTTGTTTTGATATATCACACAAGAAAAACAAAGGGTTATGACTTAAGGTTTGCGCATGTTAAATCCATTCTAACTTAATGTGTAGTGTGAAAAAAAAAAAGAAAATGAAAGAAAGAAAGAAAAAAAGAACGCGTGGAGGGGGATAAGAAGAAACGCCAGCAACGGCAAAGCAGAGAGGGAGCCAGCTCTTAGCCTGGCTCACATCCGGCAATACCGTGTCCGCATGTAGACATACTGTTTCGAACGAGATCAACCATCTTCGCATTCACATCACCCTATGATCAAAATCATCGCCATCTCCGCCTGCGTAGGGAGAACTTCACCATCATCGTTCCTATCTAAACAAAATATATAATTAGTGCTAACAGAAAGTATAATTTGGATGTTGCCGCTTTGGATTAGTGAGATGGATTAGTCTACGCGGGGTGATTTACTGGCTTTGAGTTGTCGATATCCTTTACAGTATCCATTTACAAACAGGCCTGGATCATAAAAAAGGCCAACACAAGGGTTAGATCAGTCAAAATATTTCCGAATGTGTTCTTACTTTAAAACCCAGCCTCAGCTTATTATATATTGTCGCCTATTATCACTTTGGCTGAAATAGCAACATACTTCGAAAGCGAAAGAAAATGTGGTGATTAACCGGCCAAAACGTGTCCGCACACATTCCAAAATCGATCAGCTTCGATTACTCTAGTTTCTTTAATTGTATGCCTCAGAAATTTGCTGAATGCAGCATTTAATTAATAGTCCAAGATATTTTTCCATGAGATGTTTCGAAGGCTAGTGATGCTTTTTTTATTTCAAAATCGTTACACTATTTTAATTCAACTCATTTTGTTTACATTTTATATGTTTTTCATATTGTCTCCCCTTTTCTAGAAACGTCAGAACTTCAAAAGAATATACAAGAGTTGGTTTGGAACCTCTCTGCATTAAGAGATTACTCGGTAGGAGTAATTCTAAATCATTAACAGTGGTCAGTTAAACGCAAAAGTGCACTGATGTGAAATACATGGATACATATATGTACATAGGACTAATGGCCCCAAAAGGACTTTTAACTCCCTGATTGTTATTGATTGTAATGGAACAGAAATATACATATTTTAAACAGAGCTTTAATAATTCCCTGGAGCGCAGGCTGAAGGCATCGCTTTTGTGTTAACAACACTGCATGTCTTCTGTTTTAACTTCTGCAGTGTAGTGATCTAAATTTATTTCTAATCCGAGACTGTTGTGTGCCTGGGGGAGACTGATAAACATTGCTATAGGTCATCTTAAGTGTCTTTATCACAGACATTATCAGCTTTGTCCTAAAGAATAGCACCTATATAGCCATCATCGTCATTAAATCATTATGACCAAGAAATGAGGAGAGAGTATTATTCTACAAAGAAACTTGATCACGAATATAAATTTGCTTTTTTTTATTGTTATAGGTTTCAGGGGATGTAAAAGAACTGAAGAAAAACGTAAGTTTGCCATTCATTCGCCTTCTTTAATAATCGTAATGATCATCTTAATCTTAATAATAATAATAATGATAATGATTGTAAATCATCAATAACAATAAAACATTTATTAAAAAAATGATATAATGTTAAATGGTTTCTTTTCTTTTCTTTTCTTTTCTTCCTTTTGTTAGGTCTCAGCAGGTCTCAGTGCGAAGTGTGATTTTTTTCAGGCCTTATTTTCACTACTGCCTAAGTAGTGCACATCACTGCGAAGATCACTTTCATTCATGTCTTTATCCGCAGTTCAAATATATGACCTTCATATATTCTTAACCGTCTATTCATCACTTCACGGGTTTATTTAGAACCACCATCATGACCAGCTCCCAGTTGGCTTGTTAGCTCAGTTGGTAGAGCGCTGCACCGGTATCGCAGAGGTCATGGTTTCAAATCCCGTACAGGCCTGAAATTTTTTTCAGGCCTTATTTTCACTACTGCCTAAGTAGTGCACATCACTGCGAAGATCACTTTCATTCATGTCTTTATCCGCAGTTCAAATATATGACCTTCATATATTCTTAACCGACAATAGTTTGGCCCGTTTTATTTTTTAGGGCAAAAATACAGAGCTAGAGGATATCCGTCTCGCAGTACAGGATGCTGCCCAAACTTTGACTGGTCTGAATACAAGCGTAAATGAGAGGTTTCTGTATTTTCAAAAAAGAATCATGCAACTGGATCAAAAGGTACATATACTTGAATGTATTATTGGGTGCCATTTCGTACCGAATTTCGAATCAACCTCTGACTGACCTTTCACTTTCACTTTCACTTCTATTTTCACTGTCACTGTCACTGTCACTGTCACTGTCACTGTCACTGTCACTGTCACTGTCACTATTACTGTTACTTTCACTGTCACTGTCACTGTCACTGTCACTGTCACTATTACTGTTACTTTCACTGTCACTGTAAATACCAATTTCATTTCCATTGTCATTGACACCGTCACTTTTATTGTCATTGACACTGTCACTTTCTCTGTCACTGTCACTTTCACTTTCTCTGTCACTGTCATTGTCACTGTCATTCTTATTGTAATTGCGGCAGTTGGCATTGTCATTACAATTATCATCATTTTCATTGTTATCATCATGGTAATGGTTACTGTGAATATCATTGTTGTTGTTGTTGTTGTTTTTTTTAATTGAGTAGGTGAAAAATACTACTGGCAGCACGAGCGTCAGAGAACCACCTGGAGTCAACGGTTCTAATGGAGACGTTGGACCTGCCGGACCCGCCGGACCTTCCGGATAGAATGGTACAAAGGGTGACATTGGACTTGCCGGACCTGCCGGACCTCCCGGACCTCCGGGATATAATGGTACTCAGGGCCCTGCAGGACCGTCTGGAATACCTGGCGTTCAGGGTCCTCGTGGACCATCTGGGTTCAATGGTACCCAGGGGCCAGTTCCTGTGTTGTTAAGACTTTAACCAGCGCTGGTATGGCAGCAAACTCGATCGCCCGACAAGAAACTATGGCGACGGAACCAAACGTAAGTTTAGTTGAAGATTGTGAAAGTTGATTCTGTTTGATTCTGACAAAAAAAATAGCTATTTTGTTGAAAATTACTTTACGAAATATTAACACTTATCACAATATTTACCGTTCCAAGGAGTTGTCCAAATGTCCTTAAGCCTCCCTACAGTCCGAAAGTTGAGCCATAGGGCGCATCGAATCAAAGCTAATTTCCTTTCTTTTAAGTCTTAAATCTCCATCATCATGAAAACAAAAAAACAAAAAAATAGAAAACCTTAAACAACTTGTTTCGTTATCTGAATCTTGAACTTGTTCAAAAAGTTTATTTTGCCGCCAAATGTAAAATAATTTCTTTATGATTTATTTTATTTCATACCTTTCAGTGTATTTACGGTTATTTCTTTAATACCACATGGAGCAATAACATTCTCGGCCTGTCATGAACAAAAAACGTTTGCAAATATCAGTTTTTCAAAATTTTCGCTAGGCCCGGTTTTATGACTCTGTATCTTGCCCCATGAGTGACAACGAAAATCGATTTTACAAGAACGACCTGCTCACTTAGGGAACTAGTAATCAAGCGTACATTTTAAGGCCAGTATTAGAAAATAATTGGATTTTTCTCTTCTTACGTTCCTAGACGTATGATATCCGATTTCGGCATAGAAAACTCACAGTAAGAATTGCCCATATTGTAGGCGTCGGCTTTCGCGATGTCGTGTGTACATCCATTGAAGAGGAAAGAAATGTTTTGCTCATCCACATTTCGAACTCTTGACGTAATTTATAATTATCATCAGTATCATATTTATTATCCTTTTTTCCTGCCAGGGTAAAATCTTTATTGGCGTAAACTATGATACAAACGACGCGAAAATTGCTAAATTATCAAGCATCATCGCAGGTGGAAAGAGAACCTACAGATGCTCTTGCGAAGGTACCCTAACTACTGGAGAAGCAACGATGTATTGTTACATGCACTACTGGCAGTGTAAGTCACAAGAGGAAAAACGGAAAGCCATTTAATGAACAGGAGGGGGCAACAGACGACACGCGACACGGGTACCTAAGAACCCTAGGGAAATCCCCCAGCAACGCCCTTGTTATACCGTATATATCCATTATTTAATCGTGATCAATTTCTTGCGTGAAATCGATTTCGAGAAGTTGTCCCTGGCAGCATCAAACTTTTATTATAAGAAATCCAAAATATCACTTAGAAATGAAAGGATATGGAAGTAAAACAAGAGTTTCGATGAGATAGTCAGCGTTAGAGATGGGAGTGGAAGAAAGTTTTGTGAAACTAAGTGGTCATGTTACCTAGAAAACCTCTCAGTTTTACTACGAACTGTTGCTTTCATATACTTAAATCAGCACTTATGTTTTTTATCAATGCTAAATATAGACTTCAGTCCCTTAGAATAGCTTCCAAAAATATTTTGTTTCACATTATATTTTGTACTAAACGGACGAAAGAGTATTTGTTAGTATATCAAGTTAAAAAGGAGTACTAGCAGCCACAAGTGGATAACACCTAAAATCACCGCGACTTAAGCGACTGACATATTATAACTGTCGGAAATATGGTTCCTAAAGGTAACCTGATGTGAAAAAATAAAATTTTAACTTAACTTTTGTGTATGTTTTCATCTAGTATGTAATGGTCGTATTATTTTACACGGCTCACACATTTCTTGGGAATCATAGTCACTTTAGTGAACAAAACATTGTTTTTTAGTCGAACAAAGATGACGTTTTATTTCTATGATTCAAATTCATGAAGTAATCAATTAACAATAGGGCAACAGTAAGGACTTTAGTTGTGCTCTATTGAACTCGAGGAACTGACGATCCTGAACGATGTTCATTTCATAATGCTCAGTGAAACTCTGTCGGACTAAGAAACTCCCTGAAGCATTAAAAATGGCTTCCCTTCTTCCGACCGAGTGAAATGGATTGGGTGGGTTTTTAACGAATTCCACAACCCCCCCCCCCCCCAATCCGCAAAAAAAAAAAAAAAATAGGGTAGCCCAGCTTAAGAAATTCAAATAATGCTTAATATGAGAGCAAAAACAGTTGACTGCATTTGAAATTGCCTAATATTGCATTGTGCTAAAAAAAAAAGGAAAAAAAAGAGTTCCGACAAATGTAGGTAAGGATTTGTGTGATTGATGGGACTATGAAAACAATGTTGAAAAAATGGCTCTAGTATCTTGCTTTTGAAGAGTTTCTAAATATATTTCATTTCTCATCCTTCTCAACGCCTTCATAGCATTAATGTGAAATTAAAAGTAGTTATTTCGGAAAATGATCCATGCCACCTCTCAAATTACCTTAGCATGAAATGCAATCGAAGATGGCTTATACGAAACCAGTGGATCATTAAAGGCAAGAAAATTTAATTTTGGTTTGACCTCAGCCCATCGAAGACTAAAACATCAAGACAAAACCCTCTATACCTCATTTGATTCTACCTGAATATCTCACTGTACACTGGAAAGTGGGGTCGATAGTGATAACCTGGATCAAAATCAAGACAGCATAGTCATTTTGTTCAATAATGCTTTATGCATGGATTATCCTATCAATCAGAGATGGTCATATGATCAGCATTTGAGCATCTCTTTGGTCTGCCTAAGCATGTTTCGCCCCAAGAAGAGTCTAAAGTCGATCTGTTTCATAAACGGCACAATCATACCACCCAATGATGAATACTAAGATCGAGGTCGGGCGGGAGAACATTTATTTCGAAATGGAATCTAAACAGGAAGATAACGCCGAAACCTATGACGATGTAGTTTTCAGAAAGGACACTCCACAGGCAAAGCCAAACGTGGAAACACAGCCGATTCTGATACAGTGAAGCATAACCCATTATTCTTTATCCCATCTGCCATCGCTGTTGCTTCGCTCTTAACAGCCCTTGCCACTTTGGTTTTAGCTGTGGCAATCATGACGGCACGGAGCGAGGCTTCGACAGGTACGGCTACCATTGCTCCTTCCTGTTGTAAGTAAACACTCGTAGGTCTTGATTCATCGAAATTATAAAAGTGGCATTAGTCAAACGCGTACGACACGATAAAGTAAACAATACTTTACTTCGGTCACGACCATTTAATATCTTGTCCGAAGAGAAAATTAGCGAAATTTCCGTTTCGATATGATTTGAGTATTGTTATTATTAAGATTCCACGAAATTGAGTCAACAAAAGCCACGTTCTTTTTTTAGTTAAAAGCCCAATTTATCAACCAACTACTATCTCATAAAATTTTCATCTCCAAGTTAAAAAATTACTTCTCGAAGAATTTCGTACAAAGTTTGAAATGCTTGACCCTTGTTTACTAGAGCTTTCTCCGCACTGATGATTAGTATAGGATTTCAAGTCTAAGAAAATGACATTGCTTACAAGGGGCAATCTGTCTATCATGGTACTTAGTCGTAATCATGAACAACATGGGTAGTTCTGTTATGTCTGCATGATTTGATATTTAGATGAGGCTAATTTGTGACAACTAGCGTTGAAAAACATATTTCTTTAACAGTTAATTGGTTTGCTCTCACACAACTCCGATCCGCGAGTGTGGCACATCAAGCATATTGCTGTAAAAAAAGATTAATTATTCTTAATCAAAACGCCAATTCAAAAAGAGAAAAATAAGTAACTGAAAAACCTATCACTCTTGGATTGATAAATCACATGTATGGGATTGTAATCAATGGCCTTATTTGTTGCTATCTCAAACATGCGAGGATTGAAAGCGAAACAAAGAAAATGTTCGACAAATAGTCATGAGATTTATTTGTATAAAATGCAGGTATATAATAAATCAAACCCTCTGCGTTGAATCATTTTTCTTCTTTTTCCATTTACAAGTATTAAACTATTTACTCTGCCAGATAAGTCGCAGATCGAAAAGAAGGTTCAGGAGTTGGAGAGGATCCTCTTGGCTCTACAAAAAAATTCGGTAAGAGCAATTTTGTGTTTGTGTTCGTTTTTTTGTTTGTTTTTTCATTAATCGCAGTGATCGAATAAATACAAAAGCTCTCAGATGTATTGTAATGCCTCTTAAAACTAGATTAGTGGTTATCATCTCCTGAAACCAACAACGATTCACCGAGAAAAAAAGACCGAGTCAGCGATGTTTCCTTTGATCATCGATAAAAACTTTTACGTATTTAAGACTTCGTAAGGGCGGTCCAGTCGACTTGGCTTGAGATACAAACTACCTCCTTCTGTGTTCTAAGATATCTCATGTCCTTCTAGTGAAGCCACAACCCGCCTGATTGGATCTCTTTCTTTTTCTCGAGTATAGCGGTAGTCAATTTTTGATCGAGCGAAAGCTTATCGAGACGATGCTAAGAATTTAATATTATCACTTTGTCGGTTCGTGTGTTTTAGCACGCTGAAATAAACAAATGAAAGCAGCCAATTAAAATCGAGAAGCCATTGCTATGTTCGCGACGCTTTTTTGCCGCGTTCGTGGAAGAAATCAAAGTATTTTTACGCTATTGAAAATATACAAAGCATAAAAACTAAAAAAGCTTTGGTAAAGGATAGCTCAGCCGCCAGAAAAGTGCTTTTTCGGACAATAATAACGTATGTTAAAAACGCCTGCGTAAGTTCTGTGGCCGGTGGTAAAGTGCTGGTGATGACTTCAAGCCAAACGCATTCAGTGCGAACATAATGCCAAACTCTCAGTTTAGAAATTGTACTGTTAATTTCAAAAGATTTATAGAATTTTCCTTTCGAATTTTTGAAAACTCAGATGACCAGACTTTGTAATTTCACGCAAGTTTCGCTGGATGGTGTTTTTACCTTGGGGGAAATTAAAGCCATTTAAGTTGTAGACGTTTGCCTAATTGTTAAAATCCTATTGTTGACACTCCACAGTGATGTAATAGTAATATATATAATTTTAAAAAAATTAAAAAGAAAGGTGCAAAAAAAGTCTGGGTCGGGTCCAAAACAATATTTTTGCAAATAATTTTTTTTTTTTTGAACGCAAAAGTTTAAAGAAATATTTAGAAAAAAAACAAACTTTATCTTAAGCATTTCAAACTCAACCCAAGTGCAGACTTAAACTTCTTTTATTAATATAGATTCTTTAGAGACTAAGAGTTTCTTACAATATCTAAGTTTTGTTTCGATCTAAAGAAATGCGGGAGAGAGGGATTTTGCATAATAAATAATCTGATCTAAAAATGCGGAAGTGAGAAATTTTGCATTAATGCGCTTGAAAAGGGGAAACGAGTGCACCTTAATGCATCAAGATGGTAAACAAGCACCTCGTATTATCGATAAAATCCATTCATACTATGGAGGTTTCGAATTAAGTTGTTGAAAAGTTCTGGATTTCTTAGTACAATAACATTAGTGGCAATCAAATTCTAAGAAATTGTAAACGACACCATTTTAAATTGAGAAAAATCATTATTCATTTTGTATCGATCTGAAGAAACAAGGAAAGAGAGACTTAATAAAACTACACACAAGCAAGGAAAACGTATTTACCCCAATCTAGCCTAACATGGTAAAAAAGCGCATGGTAAGTAAATATAACTTACCTTATACCATTAAACTTTTCTGGGAGTAATATAAGTAGAGTAATGTAAGTTTAGTTCTGTACAAATTTTTCTTGAATTAATGTTGATTAAATTAAAATAAATAAATAAATAAATATAACTTCCCCCATACCATGAAACTTTTCTGGGATGTCCTAGTTCTCTAACACAACAACCAATCAGAAAATTCGATCCAGACACCCAAAGAATACGTTTTAAAAGCTATCGAAACGTCAACAATATATTCGTTGAGTTGAAATGTTATGGTTGAAGAGAAAGTAAGAATTAAATGACATTTTTCTCTTCTTCTACGATGCTATTATTAAGTTTTTCTACCACCGTTATCCTGATCATCATGACCATCATTGTTATTGTTACAATGCGAATCATTGCAGTTGTCCGGACCTGCCGGACCTCCGGGATATAATGGTACTCAGGGCCCTGCAGGATCATCTGGATTACCTGGTGTTCAGGGCCTTCGTGGACCATCTGGGTTCAATGGTACCGAGGGCCCATCTGGACCCGGGGCCGGTTCCTGTGTTTTTAAGACTTTAACCAGCACTGGTATGGCAGCAAACTCAATCGCCCAACAAGAAACTACAGCGACGGAACTCAAGGTAAGTTGAGTTGAAGATTGTGAAAGTTGTTTGATTCTGACAAAAAAATATACTATTGAAAATTGCTTTACGACATATTAACACTGGAGACAATATTTACCAGTCAAAGGAGTTATCTAAATGTCGTAAGGCCTCACCTTGAGTCATAAAGTTGAGTTATTACTTTCCAACCATAGGCCGCATCGATTTTGAAAATCAAAGGTAATTTCCTCTCTTTTAAGTCTTAAATCTCCATCATCACGAAAACAAAAAGAAAAGAAAACCTTTAACAACTTGATAATATAAGTTTGTTCTGTTGTCTCACGACGAGGTCACTTGATGTGGAACGCAACGTTTCGACTGCTTACTGCAAGTCTTCTTCAGGCGATGGGGTCGACCGGTTGTCACCCCAAGGAGCGGCAGAAACAAATATTCGAGAAACGTAACCTCGACACCAAAAGTTGACCAAGCAAACTGGGTCACTAACCTGTCTTCCAGAACACTCAGCGACGCAGAAACCACCCTGCTCAAGAAAGGACTAAATTTCGCCGTCACGCCGACCAACATCAGAACCACAGAAATAATCGCGAAGGCAGAAACAACCATCAGACCACTCGACGCGGAACAAGCTGACACAGTCCGAAGAACCGTCAACAACGTACTCCAAAAGGCCGTACCACCCAAGCCTAACATCACAACGGAAATGCGAAATGCGCTAAAAAGTCTCAAACAGGACCATTCCGTCATGATCCTGCCAGCAGACAAGAGCTGTGCGACTGTAGTCCTCGACACGGAAGCGGCTACCACTCCAAGATGCCAATGATATCCTTTGACGTCGAGTCGCTGTTCACCAACGTCCCTATAGAAGAAACAGTACAGGCCGCGTTTCATAGACTCAACAACGATCCGAGCCTACCAGACCGCACAGCGCTCACACCTACCCAGATTGCAGACCTTCTAAATTTCGTTCTGAGATCCACATACTTTAAGTATAACGGAGCACTCTACGAGCAACAAGATGGAGCACCTATGGGCAGCCCGATTTCCGCCGTAATTGCCGATCTATACATGGAGGCCTTCGAAGAACAAACCTTAGCTACTGCCCCAAAACCCCAAAACCACCGAGAAAATGAAAGCGCTATGTAGATGACTCGTTCACCGTCATGAAACAGCACAACGTGGATAATTTTCGGAGCTACCTCAACCAACAACACCTGTCCATCCGCTTCACCATGGAAACTGAGAATAACAATAAGACCGCCTTCCTCGACACCCTCGTAACAAGGGAACCAGACGGTAAACTGCTCACAAGTGTATACAGAAAACCCACCCACACCAACCAGTACCTTGCCTATGATTCGCACCACCCATAATCTGTTAAACGCGGTTTTGTCAAGTGTTTACATGGTCGAGCTAAACGCATCATCACCAAGCCATCCGGAACAGCCTAGGAGATCCACAGTTCTCGTCGCCAACGGCTACCCTCCGTCCTTCTTACAGAAGGTGACCAAAATCAGGAATCCAACACCCGAGAGGGAAACAACAGAATTCAAGTCTACCGCAGTGCTGCCATACATCAAAGGAGTCTCAGAACCCTTCCGCCGCCACCTACAGCAACAACGAATACGCACCGTCTTTAAATTCGACACCACACTAAGATCTTGGCTGGTCGGACCAAAAGACCCCGCTGACCCAAACAAGCAAGATTGCGTAGTCTTCAAGATACCATGCACATGCGGCAAAGTCTACATCGGGGAAACAGGACGACCCATACAAGAAAGAATGAAGGAGAACGACAGGGATATAAGACTCGCACGCACTCAGAATTTCGCAGTTTCAGAACATGCTAACGGAGCCGGACACAAGCCGCTGTGGAACAAAACCAAGCTTATTGCCCGAGAAAGCCACTGGTACATAAGGAAAGTGAAGGAGGCAATTCACATAAGACTCAACCCAAATAACATAAACAGGGACAGCGGAGCCGAAATACCTGGATGCCTTCAAAAAGGAAACATCTAAACCAACGACGTACGAAAAACCAGCGAACGCCCGAGGAAACCATGGTAACCATGGTACCATGGCATGACCACCATGATATATAATGCCGTGCCACAACCAGAGGCACGCCTGAAGAAGACTTGCAGTGAGCGGTCGAAAAGTCGCGTTCCACATCAAGTGACCATGTCGTGAGACAACAGAACAAACTTATATTATCATCCAACTACCACGATGAACAACAACCTATCTCACAACTTTAACAACTTGTTTCGAAATTCAGCACGAACTTTTCGGAAAAGTTCATTTTGCCGCCAAATATAAGATAAAGTGTTCTTTTTTTCGGAAAATTTCATACCTTACAGTGTGTATCTACGTTTATTTCTTTAATCTCACACGGAGCAATAATATCCTCGGCCTTACGTGGAACAAAAAAGCGTTTGAAAATACCAGTTTTTCAAAGTATTCGCTACGCCGGCTTTTATGAATCTGTATCTCGGCCTATAAGTAACAACAAAAATCGATTTTACACGAACGACCTGCCCGCTGAGGGAACAAGTAATCCAGCGTACACTTAAAGGCCAGTATTAGCAAATACGTGGATTTATCTCTTCTTACGTCCCTAGACGTGTAGGCTGTATTTGTGATATCCGATTTCGGCATGGAAAACTCACAATAAGTATTCCCCAGATTTTGGACGTCGGCTTTCGTCAAGTCGTGTGTACACCCAATTGAGAGGAAAGAAATGTTTTGCTCATCCACATTTCGAACTCTTGACGCAATTTATCTGTATCATCAGTATCATAATTATTGTCTTTTTTTTTTTTCCTGCCAGGGTAAAATCTTCATTGGCGTCAACTGTGATACAAACGACGCGAAAGTTGCTAAATTATCAAGCATCATCGCAGGTGGAAAGAGAACCTACAAGTGCTCTTGCGAAGGTACCCTAACAACTGGAGAAGCAACGATGTATTGTTACATGCACTTCTGGGAGTGTCAGTCATAAGAGGAAAAACATAAAGCCATTTAATGAACAGGACTCTTTGTAAAGAAGATTATACAGTTTTGATTCAGAAACGAGACGAAGAATACTATTTTTCAAATATGCCCCGTGATCTGGGTTTTCTTTCAGAGGGCATTTCAGTTGAGTGTTGTAAAACCAAAATCAAAGTAAAATAAAAGTAAAAACAGGTTATCTTCTTAAAGCGAGAGAAAGAGGATGGTGCGAGATTTCTAGACCAATCACAATGTGAAGTAATGCTAAATCAAAGCAAAGTAGCATTACTTCCCCCACTCAGTCGAGTGTCACCCTATTTAGCCACATTGTCTTTAATTGACATGATATCAAAGTTAATAGGCTAAGACTTTCCTATCATTTATACTCATTCAAAGGTGGAACCCCCAGGGCAAAACCACCCCCGGCTACGCCCTTATTATAACATACTCGTATCATCTAATCTTGATTAATTTCTTGTGTGAAACTAATTTCGAGAAGTTGTACCTGGCTTCATCAAATTTCAGTCTAGGAAATCCAAAATATCACTTAAAAAACGAAATATGTGGGAATAAATCAAGAGTTTCAACGAAGGGTGCCGCCGTAAGTAAGGGTTTGTGTGATTGATGGGACTTTGAAAACAATGTTGAAAAAATGGTACCAGTATCTTGCTTTGGAAAAGTTTCCGAATACTTCCTTTCCCATCCTTCTCAACGCCTTTATAACATTCAGCTATTTGGGAAAATATTCCATGCCACCTGTCAAATAACCTTAGCATTAAATGTAATCAAAGTTGGCCTCTACGAAACCAGTGGATCATTAGAGGTAAGAAAGTTTTAGTTTAGGTTTGACTTCAGCCTACTGAAGACTAAAACATCAAGGGGATATCAAGAGGAAACCCTCTATACCTCATTTGCTTCTACTTTGATATCTCACTATACACTGGAAAGTGGGGTCGATAGTGATGACCTACATCACTATCAAGACAGCATAATCATTTTGTTCAATAATGCTTTCATCATCATTTAAGGTCAGTTAAATCTTTTATTGCACAATCTATAAACTTACGTCGAAACAAACAAACACTTCCTGTCATCATCCTTTTTTAAGACAGCTTACGCATCAGTCATTCTTCGCTCTATCATCAGTCAGTGCTGATCATATGATCGTATCGCATCGCATTTCAGCATCTTTTTTGCTTGCCTAAGCTTGTTTCGCCTCCAGAAGCGTCTAAAGTTGATCTGCTTCACAAGAGGCACAATCATAACACCCAATAATGGATACTAAGACCGAAGTCGGGCGGATGAACGTTTCTTTCGAAACGGAATCTAAACAAGAAGATCACGCCGAAACGTGTGACGGTTTAGTTTTCAGAGAGGACACTCCTAAGGCAAAGCCGAAGGAGGAAACACAGCTGTGTAAAGATTCTTATACAGTGAAACATCACCCATTATTCTAAATCGTATCAGCCATTGCTGTTGCTTCGCTCTTAACAGCCCTTGCCACTTTGGTTTTAGCTGTGGCAATCATGACGGCACGGAGCGAAGTTTCCACAGGTACGGCTACCATTGCTTCTCCCTGTTGTAAGTAAACACCCGTAGATCTTCATCCATTCAAATCTTAAAAGTGATTGGAAAAAGGGCACTAATTAAACGACAGGATGAAGCAAGAAATAATTCACTTCGGTCCTGACAATTTCTTGTACAAAGAGGAAATTAGAGGAACTTCCGTTTCGATATGATTTGACTAATGCTATTGTTAAGATTCCACGAAACTGGGTCAACGAAAACCTTTCTTTTTTTTTTTTTTTTTTTTTTTTTTTTTTAGTAAAACGCCCAATTTATCAACAGACCACTCTCCCGTAAGAAATTTCTACTCCCGAATGAAAAATTAATTTCTTGAAGAACTTCGTACAGAGTTTTGCATATTGCACCTTTATTTACCAGAGCGTTCCCCGCACTTGTGATTAGTATAGGATTTCTAATGATGTGAGCCACTTAACATTAAGTTAGTATCATGAAGTATGCAAAGGCCGAAGACATTGTAAGTAACGCAAACGCTCCGAGTCATTGAATTGAGAACTTTAACCATATGCGTAATAATATCTGACAAAAGATGAGGTTATAAAAAAATATCATTAGTGAAAAGCACGACTCTCCATGTTTTCAATGGGGCTTTTGGAATTAAATATGTGAAATCATTTATTAACATGAAACTCAACCCCCCCCCCTTATAAAATTTGAAATTGAAATTTTGATTAACATACATACCAAGAAAATTCAAAGTTCCATGCAGATAATTAAAAATGGTAACAGACCGAGTGGAGTTCAATTCGGTGTGTAATCATAAGAGTGATTGTCAATCATTCGTAACATTACCGACAGAATTGGTTGACACTAAGTCCTGTTGCAAATTAAAATTTCGGGAAAAAAAATGAACCAAAAAAACATGATTGTTCAAAACATGATCATTAAAATCTACGACAAAAGCGAAATGCAACGTTTAAAATCGGCTTTTAAAACAAAGATAAAAAACTAAAGACTAAAACCACTCAAGCAAAACGATTACTTAGCAACAACCAATCAGTCCACCGTTCAAGTGTTAACAATTAAATAATCAACCAGGCGTTACGGCCAAGGAACAAAAATTACATTCAATTTGAAACTCGCGCCGTCTAGTAAGTTTCGAAAATACAATCGTTATACATCTACTACAGCTATCTTAAGAAACAAAAGAAAGCATTACAACTTTTTCTACGGATTAGCTGGGATGTTTTCCTTTACGTTTATATCTTCTGGGCCTGGACAAGAGGAAGAAATAATTGCCGGCGATCGACCTTTATACTATCGCTGATAAAGTCGATGTTGCGGCATACCCGCTTGCCATACGAGATAATTACCTTCGTTTGCTCTCCGTTGTTTGGTCCTAATCATGCAGCCAGGACTCTCTGGCATGTCCAGTAACTTGGATAATTTTATGAAGTGGTTGGCCCGCTTCTTTTAATTTCGTAACGACCGTTTTTCTTGTGAAATGGTTTGTTGTTTTCTTGGCACGCTCCTCTCGTAAACAACTTGCAACTGACTTCATTATTTGGCTAATTCGATGCTCACCCATGCTCGATTTGGCCAACCAACACCTGTGGAGGGGCTAGAAACAATTTCAAGGTACAAAGGGCCGGAATTTCTAATTGGTCGGGGTCGACGTGCAAGCCACTCTAAGCAAAGCTGCACGAGATCCCATTCCCCACCGTTGGTAGACCGCGTTTGCCGAAGAGAACTTCGGTTTTTGTTTCTCAATCCGCCTTGCCGGGTTTTGGTTAGATTTTCTTCACACTGAACAACTTTGCTACCAGGTGCCATTTGCAAAATGAAAAAATCTTCAACGTAAGCGTTGTAATAGTCCTAGCGGCCTCTGAAACCCAAATAATTTGCCAGTTTTTTATAGTAACGTTTGTAAAGGCAACACCATTGTGACTTTCAAGTTTTCCTTCACTCCAAAATAATTATTCGTCTACTCGAGTGTACGGCTGAGCTCTGTTGGGCAAATTTTCTTGGCCTTGGCATCTCTGACATTTTGTTCGGTGATGGATGCCGAATAATATTTTCGGCGGAGATACCTGTCGAGTGATGCCTCCACAATGCGAAGTGAGTAGGCTTCGAATTCTCTTCCATTTTTTTTCAGGACTTCAGCGTAGAATTTTGTCAGAATCTTATCCAAATTTCGACGGGCGAAGCGTTACTAACAAACTATTGCCAAATTCCAAGGAACCTCGAATGCTTCAAGCCATAATCGACTCTTTTCCAGGTACAGATCGAAATCTTCTTTTTCTTCTCAATTTCGACATTATTTCTCGTAAATGTAGTGCTATTATTACAGGCATACAATGTACCTTCTTCCTTACGAATGATTCACAAACTTAGAAAGATCGTTTACATATAACAAGCAGGAAAAAAGGCCTTTTGCTTACCAAATTTTTGAGAGATGAACAAATGATTCTCTTGATAGTGATTAATTATTTGCAATAGTTCAAGAATAAGTTGGTCCTATTTCTCTCTTATTGTATTAAAAGGTGTTTTGTGAATGGTGCTAACATTTGCTAATCAATGTGTGAAACTTCAACATGTGTTAATTGCTTTATCTTTTATCTATTTATCCATCTGTTCATCATTTTTTGTTTACATTTTCTATGTTTTTCTTATTGTCTCCCCCTCTTCTAGAAACGTCAGAACTTCAAAAGAATGTGCAAGAGTTGAAAAGGAACCTCTCTGCATTTAGAGACTACGCGGTAGGAGTAATTCTTAATCATTAGTAGTGATTTGTTAAAAACAAAAGTGCACTGAGGTAAAATACATGAGTACTTTTATGTAGTACTACATAAGACTGAGGGCCTTAATAGGACTTTTAACTTGCTGATTATTGGTAAATATGGTATAGAAATATAGATTTTAAACAGAATATCATTTTTGTATTAACAACAGTACACTTCTTCTGCTTTAACTTTTTCAATGGGGTGATCTAAATGTTATTTCTAATCAGGCTGATGTGTGCCTGGGGGAGCCTGATAAACATTACTATAGGTCCTCTTGGGTGTCATTGTTCCAGACATTACCAGTGTTCTCCTAATTTTTTTGAACCAACTTTGGCAGCATAGTAGGTACAAACCTTATCATGCAAATTGCGCGCCTCTATAGCCATCATCATCCTCAGATCATTATGAATAAGAAATCACAAGAAAGTATTGATGTACAAAGAAACTCAATCAGGAATATTGATTTACATTTCTTTTATTGTTATAGGTTTCAGGGGTTGTAAAAGAACTGAACTGCCATTCATTCACCTCTAATAATCATAATGATCATCTTAATAATAACAATAATGATAATGATTGTAAGTCATCACTAAGAATAAACCATTCATTAGAAAAATGATATGATGTTAAGCAGTTTCTTTTCTTTTCATCCTTGTGCTAGGTCTCAGCAGAGTTGGAGGAGCTAGCAATAAGGGCAAGTTTAAATTCATCCATTTCCAGCTCTATCTAAATTAGGAAAAAATTACTATTAGTGCACTGAGTTTAACAGAAGTTTCTTGCTTTATGGCAGATGAAAAAAGACATGGAAAAAATGAAAAATGAAGTAAGTTACCAACATTAAGAATGTATTGTTATCTGAATCTCTCACTGTTACAGTTCCTATTATCCTTTTTTCAGAAGCAAAATGTGGACTGCTCTACTTATTTTACCAACTTTGGTAGGTCCACTAATTCTTTAACACAATAATTTTGTCTGTTTTATTTTTTAGGGCAAAAATACAGAGCTAGAGGATATCTGTCTCACAGTACAGGATGTTGCCCAAGTTTTGATTGGTCTAAATACAACTGTAAATGAGAGGTTTCTACATTTTGAACAAAGCATCATGCAACTGGATCAAAAGGTACATATACCTGAATGTATTTTTGTGTGTCATTTCATACCAAATTTCAAATCAACCAATCAGTGACCTGATCTGAGATATCTTGCAATGCCAAGTCACTGCCCTAAGCTGCACGATATCATGGTCTCTTTCACTTAAAGTTAAGCTACCTAATGGTCATCACAAAGTACATGGTACACATATGCTTCAAAGCCTAATGCAAAAACAGAGACTGTTTTTCATCATGAGTTAAAGAGGATTTTCGAAGATTGTCAAACATATAGCCCATCATTGTTTGCAAGAGTCAGTGTTGAACATTCAAATTCAAGCAAGACTACCCCAGCAAATTTTAAATTTGTTTTGAAAATGACCTGTTTACATTTATTTAATGTCTGTGGAATGGCAGGGGATACTTTTTTTGTATCTAATTTCATGCTTGAAAATGCCACAATTGTGATTAACTTCAATTTAGCCTTAAAAATATCTTAACCATTGACTTAAGGTATAGATATATCAATGATAAGGGATGGTGTGGTGTAAGCCTATAGACAGATCAATTGATATGTGGTGACCATTCCATCATCAGTCCAAACTATAAAGAGATAAAACTCCATAGTTCGCAAATCCAACATTGAGCAAATAAGCATGGTAAAGGTCTCCAATGTGAATAAAAAAAAAAACCAAACAAACTGTGCATTTCTTACAACCAACTTAAGTCAATGTTGGTTTCCTTCTAGACACCTTTTCATATAAGAGCCTCCCATTTTGGCAGGGCCACTGCCAATTCCACTGTCACTGCCACTGCCACTGCCACTGCCACTTTCATTATCACTGTCACAGTCATTATCACTTTCACTTTTACTGTCACATACACTGTCACTGTCACTGTCACTGCCACTTTCAATTTCACTGTCACTGATACTTTCACTTTCAATGTCACTGCCACTGCCACTTTCACTGCTACTGTCATTGTCACTCTCACTGTCAAATTAACTGCCACTATCACTGCTTCTGTCACTGTTACTATCACTATCACTGTCAATGTCACTGTTACTGCCACTCTCACTGTCACTGTCACTTTCACTTTCATTGTCACAGTAACTCCCACTGTCACTGTCACTTTCCCTTCCACTTTAACTGTTATTGTCAGTCACCCACTGTCACCGTCATTATCATTGTCACTGTCTCTGCCACTGTTACTTTCCCTTTCACTTTTACTGTCACTGTCACCGTCATTATCACTGTCACTGTCTCTGCCACTGTCACTTTCCCTTTCACTTTTACTTTCACTGTCACTGTCACTCACTTTCACTGTCACAGTCAATGTCACTTTCACTGTCACTTTGTCACTGTCACCGTCATTCTCACTGTTACTGTGCTAATTGTCATTACCACTACAATTGTAATCATTTTTATTGTTATCGTTATTGCAGTGGTTACTGTGAATATCATTGTTGTTGTTGTTGTTTTTTTTAATTGTGTGGGTGAAAAATACTACTGGCAGCACAAGCATCAGAGGACCACCTGGAGTCAATGGTACTAATGGGGACACTGGACCTGCCGGACCTCCAGGATATAATGGTACAAAGGGTGACATTGGACTTGCCGGACCTGCTGGACCCCCCGGACCTCCAGGACATAATGGCACTCAGGGCCCTTCAGGACGATCTGGACTACCTGGTGTTCAGGGTCTTCGTGGACCATCTGGGTTCAATGGTACCCAGGGTCCACCTGGACCTGGGGCCAGTTCCTGTGATTTTAAGACTTTATCCAGCACTGGTATGCGAGTAAGCTCGATCACCCGACAAGAAATTTTAGCGACGGAACAAAATGTGAGTTGAGTTGAAGATTGTGAAAGTTTTTTGATCCTAACCAAAAACACTCCTATTGAAAATTAATTAACACTCAAGACAATATTTACCGGTCCAAGGAGTTGTCCAAATGTAGTAAAGCCTCCCGCCATAGGCCGCATCGACTTGAACAATCAAAGCTAATTTCCTCTCTTTTAATTGTTAAATCTCTCCATCATCATCAGTGTTAAATCTCCATCAAAAAAAAAAAAGGAAAAAAGAAAAGAAAACAAGAAAACATTTAACAACTCGTTATGGAATTCAGCACGGACTTGTCGGACAAGTTCGTTTTGCCGCCAAATGTAGGATAGAATTGGTTTTTTTTCATTTTTTTCCGACAATTTCATACCTTTCAGTGTATCTATCTTTCTCTGATCCCACACCGAGCAATGATATCCTCGGCCTGTCATGGAACGAATAAACGTTTGCAAATGTCAGCTTTTCAAAATATTCGCTACGCCGGCTTTTATGACTTTTATAAGTGACCACAAAAATCGATTTTGCACGAACGACGAGCCTGCTGAGGGAACCAGTAATCCAGCGTACATTTAAAGGCCAGTATTAGCAAATACGTGGATTTTTCTTTTCTTACGTTCCTAGACGTGAAAGCTGTATTTGTGATATCCGATTTCGGCATGGAAAACTTTCAATAAGTATTGCCCAGATTTTAGGCGTCGGCTTTCGTCACGTCGTGTGTACACCCATCGAAGAGGAAAGAAATGTTTTGCTCATCTGCTTTTCGAACTCTTGACGTAGTTTATCATTATCATCTGTATCAATATTTTTTTTTCCTGCCAGGGTAAAATCTTTATCGGCGTAAACTGTGATACAAACGACGCGAAAGTTCCTATATTATCAAGCACCATCTCAGCTGGAAAGAGAATCTACAAGTGCTTGTGCGAAGGTACCCTAACAACTGGAGAAGCACTGATGTATTGCTACATGAACTATTGGGAGTGTCAGTCATAAGAGGAAAAACGGAAAGCCATTTAATGAACAGGGGTCTTTGTGAGGAAGATAATACAGCTTGGAATCAGAAACGAGACGAAGAAGAATTTAGTGGTTTAACGTTAGTGCTATTTTTCAAATATGCCCAGTGAACTGGGTTTTCTTTCAGGGGGCATTTCAGTTAACTATTCTAAAACCAACATCAAAGTAAAAACGGGTTATCTGCTCAAAACGTGAGAGAGAGGATGGCACGAGATTTCTAGACCAATTACAATGCGAAATAATATTAAATCAAAGCAAAGTAGCATTACTTTCCACACTCAGTCGAAAGTCACCTTATTTAGCCACATTGTATTTACTTTACATGATGTCAAAGTTAATAAGCTAAGACTTTCCTGTCATCCGAACTCATTCAAAGGTGTGCATGATTTATTTATCAGAAGCGCTGTTTCTTTTTTACCATTAACTTTCGCTTCCGCTCTTTTTGCCCTTGCGAGGCTTACGGTTACCCGGGAACCCCAGGGCTAACCCCCCACCCCCCACGCCCTCGTTATAACATACATGTATCATCTAATCGTCACTCGGTTAATTTCTTGCGTGAAACCGATTTTGAGAAGTTGTCCTTGACTGCATCAAATTTCAGTATAAGAAATCCAAATATGACTCCAAAAGAAAATGTATTGAAGTAAATCCAGAGTTTCAATGAGATAGTCAGCGTTAAGGTCGGAACTGGAAGGAAGTTTTGTGAAACTAGGTAGCCATGTTACCCAGAAAACCTCTCAGTTTTACTACGAACCATTGCTTTCTCATATTTAAATCTGCACCGATTTTTTTTTCAATCAATGCTAAATACAGATTCAGTCCCTTGGGATATCATCCAAACATATTTTTTTTTTACATTAATGGACAAAAAAGTATTTGTAAGTATCTCAAATTAAAAAGGAGTACTAGCAGGCGCCAGTTGATAACACCTGATATCGCCGCGACTTCAGCGACTGATATGTAATAACTGTCGGAAATATGGCTCTAAAAGGTAACCTGATGTGAAGAAATAAAGGTTTTAACTTAACGACATGCCTTCTCTTCAGTTTTGTGTATGTTTTTCATCTAGTATGTAAAGGTCACATTTACTCTTCTCACACCTTAATGCTTAAATTCGAGAGTGAAAACTGTTGACTGCATTTGAAATTGCCTAATATTGCATTATGTTAAAAAAGGGGAAAAAATATGTTGCCATAGGTATAGGTAAGGATTTGTGTAGTTGATGAGACTATGAAAACAGTGTTGAAAACATGGTTACAGCATCTTGCTTGGAAGAGTTTCTGAATATTTCCTTTTCCTTCTCAACGCCTTTATAGCACTTAGTTGAAATTAAAAGTAGTAGATCATTAAAAGTTAAAGAATTTTAATTTTGGTTTGACTTCAGCCCATTGAAGGCTAAAACATCAAGAAGAAACCCTCCATACCTCACTTGCTTCTACCTTGATATCTCACTGTACACTGGAAAGTGGGTGTATAGTGATAACTTAGATCAATATCAAGACAGCATTATCATTTTGTTCAATAATGCTTTCATCGTCATTTAATGTCAGTTCAATCCTTTATTGTACAATCTATGAGCCTGCGTCGAAACAAATACTTCCTGTCATTATCCTATTTTCATACAGCTTACGCAACAGTCAATCTTCGCTATCTCATCAGGTCAGTGATGATCATATGATCATATTGCATCGCATTTCAGCATCTCTTTGGCCTGCCTGAGCTTGTTTCGCCCCAATAAGCGTCTAAAGTTGACTTGTTTCACAAACAGCACAATCATACCACTCAATGATGGGTACTAAGATCGAGGTCGGGCAGGAGAACAGTTATTTCGAAATGGAATCTAAACAGGAAGATCACACCGAAACCTATGACGATGTAGTTTTCAGAAAGGACACTCCTCAGGCAAAGCCAAACGTGGAAACACAGCCGTATAAAGATTCTGATGAAATGAAACATCATCCATTATTCTTTATCATATCTGCCATTGCTTTTGCTTAACTCTTGACAGCCCTTGCCACTTTGGTTTTAGCTGTGGCAATCATGACGGCACAGAGAGAAGTTTCCACAGGTACTGCTACCAATGCCCATTCCTGTTGTAAGTAAACACTCGTAGGTCTTGATCCATTAAAAGTGTCATCACTCAAACGACACGATGAAGCAAAAAAATCATTCACTTCAGTCTAGACCATTTAATTTTCTCTCCAAAGAGAAAATTAGAGGAATTTCCGTTTCGATATGATTTGAGTATTGTTATTTTTACGATTCCACGAGATTGGGTCCATAAAAGCCACCTTCTTTTTTAGTAAAAAGCCCAATTTATCGACCAAATGCTCTAGCATGAAATTTTCATAAATAATTCCCCACACTGGTGATCAGTATAGCATTTCGAGTCTAAGGAAATGACATTGTTCACAAGGGACAATCCGTCCAGCACGATACTTATTCGTAAACATGAATAACAAGGGCATTGTTATTATGTCTGCATGATTTGGTATTAAGATGAGGCTAAGTTGTGATCACTGAGCGTTGAATAACACATTTCTGTAGAAGTAACTCCGTTTGCTTTCTCACTAACACAACTCCGATCCGCCAGTGTGGCACATCAAGCATATTACTGTAAAAGTACATTAATTATTCTAGATCGAAACGCAAATTTAAAAAAAGAAAAATTAAATATAAAACCTATCGCTTTTGGATTGATAAATCACACGTAAGGGATTGTGAACAGTGACCTTAGTGGTTGCTACCTCAAACATGCGGGGGATGAAAACGAAACAAAGAAAATGTTTCACAAATGGTCATAAGATTTATTTGTATAAAATGCGGGTATATAATAAATCAAACCATCTGCGTTGAACCATCACTCTTATTTGTCCATTTTCAAGCATTAAACAATTTACTCTGCCAGATAAGTCACAGATTGAAAAGAAGGTTCAGGAGTTGGAAAGGATTCTCTCGGCTCTACAAAATAAATCGGTAGGAGCAATTTTGTCTTTTTGTTTGTTTTTTTTTTTATTAATCGCAGTTATCGAATAAATACAAAAGCTCAAGGATGTATTATAATACTTCTAAAGACTAAATTAGTGGTCATCATCTCCTGAAACCAATAATGATTCGCCGAAATAAAGGAATCGAGTCAGCAATGTTTCCTTTGATCATCGAGGAAAACTTTACTTATTTAAGACTTCGTAAGAGCAGTGCTGTCTATTCGGCTTGAGATACAAATTACCTCATTCCTTATGTGTTCCAAGATATTCATGTCCTTCTAAGGAAGCCACAACCTGCCAGGGCGGATATCTCTCTTTTTCTCGAATATAACGGAAGTCAATTTTTTCTCGTGCGAAAGCTTATCAAGAAGATTCTAAGAATTTAAATATAATCACTTTCTCGGTTCGTGTGGTTTAGCAAGCTGAAATAAACAAATGAAAGGGGAGAATCAAACAACAGTACGATAAAAGCAAACAATTAAAATCGAGAAGCCATTGTTATTTTCACGGCGTTTTTTTGTCGCGTTCGTGAGAGAAATCAAAGTATTTTTGCGTCATTGAAAACGTACAAAGCATAACATCAAGAAAAGGTTTGGTAAAGGATAGCTCAGCCGCCAGAAAAGTGCGTTAATAACGCCTGTGTAAGTTCTGTGGCCGGTGATAAAGTGCTGGTGGTGACCTAACGCCAAACGCACCTAGTTCGAATTATACCAAACTCTCAGTTTAGCAATTGTATTCTTAATTTCAACAGATTTATAGAATTTTCCTTTCGAATTTTTGGAAAACTCAAATGGCCAAAAATTGTAATTTCACGCAGTTTCGCTTGATGGCGTATTTACCCAAGGGGAAATAAAAGCCATTTAAGTTGTAGACGTTCGCCTAATTGTTAAAACCCTATTGTTGACACTCCAGAGGGATTTAATAGTTATATATATATATATATATATATATATATATATATATATATATATATGTTGGGAAGTAATGAAGAGGCCAACTCTTGACTGTTCTGGACGAGTTTAATGCACGACGTTTCAGCCGTTCGGCCTTCTTTAGGTTAAAAATTAAAAACTAAAAAGCTATTTACAATGATTGCGACTTATATACAAAACAGAAAATTTAAGATTGAGGTTACGTAATACAACAAAGGTATAAATACAAAATGAGGAGGGTTAAACAATGAAAGGCAAATAAAGAACTATGGGTGACATGTGAATACAAATAAGTGACAAAAACTAGAGAGAAACAAAATCTAACTTAATAAGTAGTGTTTACTCCGGAGTAACAAGCTCCCTATTGAAGGCCTCTGAATGAATGTAATCAGGTAAAAATCACAACAGGATCCCATAACCTCCTCTCCAAGGCCCCCCTTTTTTTTAATGAAAAACCGATGACAAACATAACAGAATCCCTGAAAAGAGCCCTTCAACTAAGGAATAAACAAATATCAAAAATGATAATGGAGTAAAATTAAAATAAAATACGTCATGTTGGAAAAATGGTAAATCACAACTTCTCAATTGTAGTAATCAATGCAGTGTTTCGATCTAAATTCTCGCCGTTTGTTGAGACCATGAGGATTAAGGGTGAATAATTGCAGGTCCAATAGGCTCTCAATGGAGATTCTTAACAGATCAAGAGTTTCTTACGATGTCTAAGTTTTGTCTCGATCTAAAGAAACGCGGGAGATAGAGATTTTGCATAAGTGCTCATGAACAGGGAAATTTGATCCAGAAATGCGGAAGAGAGAGATTTTGCATAACTGCGCTTGAACAGTGAAAAGGAGTGCACCTTAATGCAGTAGGATGGTAAACAAGCACGTGGTAATATAGATAAAATTCATTCATACTATGGAGGTTTCGAATGAAATTGTTGAAACGTTCTGGGATCTCTTAGTACGACAAGATTACTGCCAATCAAACTCTAAGAAATTATAAACGGCGTCATTTTAATTGCGAAAAAACATGATTCATTTTGTACCGATCTGAAAAA